CTGATGACAATGTAGACGCCTGACAAACGTTGTTGTTGTTGTGATCATAAACTTTATTGCACGCAATACACAGAGCTTTTCCCTCACCATTGTAACGCGCTGCTTTTGCAAGCTTCCGTGAAAACGTTTAAGCTTTTATTTTCCTTTTCCGTCCTGAAGAAGAGTATCGGTTTTTGCAAATGAACTCTTCATATATATATATATATATAGAAGATAGATAGATAGATAGATATGATGAAGGATGTTTAGATATTATACTTAAGCAGAAAATATTATTAAAAAAAATATATATATATAACTATTGGACGTTTTACAGCAGCAAAAAGTCTTTTTCTTCTAGGACTGAAAATGTGAATAAAAAAGAAATATATCCTGTAGGATGCCAAACGGTTGGAATCAGGAATCCAGTTTCAGAATGAAGCAGAGACCGCTGGTTACCTTCTGGAGTGTGAGAACTTATTGAGGCAGCAAGTGCTGGATATCCAGCTTTTACTGGATGGGAAATTCTACTTGGCTGATCAGCTCGTTCAAAGGTCAGAAAGTCATTCGCTGAACTTCATTATTAAAGAGAATAAATCGTTGAGGCATTCTCAAAATGAGCAATAGAAATAGTGACGCTTGCTTTACCTTCACTGGTTTTAAACCCTGAAATCTCTTTGGTCCTCAGGGTATCTAAGCTCCGTGATGACCTGTTGGCTTTGAGGACAGAGTGTTCAACCGTCTACAGCAAAGGACGCACACTGACCTCAGAACAGACCAAGATGATGATCTCTGGCATCACGCAGAGTTTGAACTCAAACTTTTCCCCAAACTTCAGTGCCGGACTGTCTCCTGCGCTCACTCACGGAGGCCTGGTCACATCGGGCGGCAGCCCTGCGATGAGCCCAGCTATGACACCCAGCATGCAGCCTGCCGCGGTCCAGACTTACCTCAGCGGCAGAGGAGGAGGAGGAGGAGGAGGCATGGAGCCCGGGGTTCTTCAGCAGCTCAAACACATGCAGATCCGCAAGCCCATGCTCAAATCCTCATTCCTGGATCCCAACTTGACCGAGGATGAGGTTAATGTGAAGTTTGTGCAGGATCTGCTTAGCTGGGTTGAGGAAATGCAGGTATGTTGAAGACTTTAGATTCCTTTAGTCCTTCACACTGTATTTATGTTTTACATTTTGGACAAACGATCTTGTTTTCTACGCTGTTTTAATCATTAAAAATGCAAAGCGTGATGATTTGAGTGATGATGCAAACCTTTTGAGCGAGGTTATCTGATGCTTTTGTCCTGATCTTTTTGTCTCTGAAAGGTTCAGCTTGATCAAGCAGAATGGGGATCTGATCT